CTTCTATAAACTGTAAACAAAGTCAACATTTCACCCGGGGTATATTCGCGAACAAACCCCCTGGTAATACGTGTAATGTGTGACGTCATAACGGCGAGCCGTAGTAATGGCGGACCATAATGAATATTCGAAACATTTTGGTGAGTTTTCATGTTCGAATCGTAATATAGACCTCAGAGCAGGTATAATATCGTCGAATACACCCCTTAGGACTAGGCACGAAAGCTTTCGAACCCCTCACTCCCTTCGGTCGTTTGGGGTACATAAAACGTTTGTGCCTAGCCCTACGGGGTGTATTCGACAATATTACCCCTGCTCTTCGGTCTATATTTCTTTAAATAATGATATTTAAAAACTCGTGGATACTACCCTAAATGCATTCGTTCAACTTCGCTTCTTAAAAGAGAGCTTCGTCTTCAGGGTACGTGGATACTTGGTTGATCTTGATATGTACTTAATCTTACAATTATTGGTTGTTTATAACATTCGATTCACCCGTCGTATATTGTATACATATACTGTATATATATAAATCAATTACACCAACATACTTGTACTTCTACTTAATTTGGCGCTAGATTTGCTGTTTTGAACATTTTGGCGGTTACTTAATTTGGCGGAATTGAAATATTGAAATGAATATACAATATATATTTACGATTGAAATATGAAATATTGAATTTAGCGGCTACTTAATTTGGTGGACTTAAACAATTTGGAGGATCCGCCAAATTAAAACGGCCGCCAAATTAAGTTAATTTAATTTCTAGTTTTTAAAACATGCATTTTGGTTAGTCAACCTTCCGAGAAATGTTTTATTTAATAGTAGACTAAGGTAATGATTTGTTTAGATGAATTTATTATTGCATTTATGTGTACTTATAAATAGTATTTATTTTATATAACCTATATGTACATAAACGAATAAACTTTATTTATTTATTTATTTGGCATTTGTTTATCTCATAATACGAATAAACACCCATAATAGGACTATCTTATTATTTAATGTCTAACGTGTTTCTATCAACACTTCTAGGATACATTTATTGATTTGTTATTTAGTACACAAAATGGTTCGCTATATTTTTGGATATTTTAATACAATTGCATTAAGGTGATTGCATTAAACTGATTCATTAATATGCCATTACAATTACATTAATTAAGAATATACACGCATGCGTCAGGCTTCAGTACACACACACATACTAATGACCGATAATGTTTATACACCAAATTTTTTCATAAACTGTGATGACACGGTTAACTAACCAATCAATAATATTTTAATAACATATGTTTCTTTTTCCATCAAAATAAGATCTGCGAAAGTACTTTTAGGGACCAATGATTTTCAAATGGCTAACGTACACCAGAATCACGAACGCAGGACATTTATTTTCTGAACGGACAAAGAAGAGGATTGTATGTAATACTCGAACGTCATTATTATTGTTATAGAATCGAGCAAGGAAAATATGTAGCAGGGAAACAAAGGTAATCAATTTATCAGGAATAATTGAAATGAAAACTGGGAAATAAAGTCAAAGAATTTGTCTTGATCCTATGGATACGTTACGTAATAGGGTGACGTACCTGCCGGATTACACTTTCTTCGGTATTTATTGAGTCAAGGGACTTTTCAATTTGGAGGTTGACATTTATCATCGAGATTTGTCACAATTTAAGTTTTATAAATAGAGAACGATCAATGTTTATTTGAAATGACACGCCATGTTTTATCAAATTAACGATCATGTCTTTCTGCAGTCCACCTGCTATTCTTACTTTTTATATATCAATTATACTTATAAGGCATTTGCTTTGTTATGATTTTACCCTGCGCGAGCCCATGATATCATACAATGTCTATGATAAAACATGTTGGTCACGATTTGTCATGTGCATTTGTAATTGATAAAACATAATGATACCAGTAGAAACAATGTATTTTGAGGTTGGCGTTTATTAGTTAAAAAACTAATATTTGAGACTTAACTGTTAAAATATTTTAGCATAATGCTGTCACTTAGTGACGTATTTTGCCAAAAACCATTGAACCAATCATCGTTACCAAAGAAAGTACGTCAGAACTGATGTTATCAATTTACAGATTAATTATAATTAAATTTCATGTGCGTGTTAACAAATCTAATAATGCGACATTGAACATATGTAATGATTATTGAATATAAACATAACATTGTAAATACAATCGATTACATGTATAATATAGCATGCCATTGGTTTGTAAAACATTATAAATGTTTGAGAGGATCAGGGAAAGCAAATTGTGTAATTTTGCCCACGGTTTGAATGTTGGTAATTCAAATTTCACATATCAGATTTTCCAGGTCCATTTTCCATGTAGCCTATCCATAGCAGATACTTCCCCGTTATTTCTAAATAATTACAATAATTGTTTTGGTTTTAGAATTATGAAAACGCTTCTACGGTCAGATGGGTTTGCAGAAACGTTGCAATTTAGGAAACCAATGTACATCTTTCTCTGCGTTGTATTGCTGTTTCACATCATTGCGGCCCGCACGTCCCGTACGAAGCGATCAGAAAAAACTGTGAAACCGAGAAACACATGTCCCCTGTCCGATATCAATCCAAAGAATCCAAAGGCATCAATTAAGTTGAGATGCGTTTGCGTCGTACCACCGGATTGCATTTTCGAATGCCTGCTGTGGACGTTTTCCTGTGTTGGACAATATCCAGCAAAGGCTAATGTTGTCCAACAGCTCGACCCAAGGATTGATGGAATAGAGGTATTGGATTTATCTAAGAACAACATAACAACAATCAAGAACACTGCCTTTTCACATGAAAATATCTCCAGGTTTCTAACAGTTCTACGACTTGCTAATAACCTTTTGAAAGTTCTTAGAAAGGGAGCATTTTCTACACTTGAACAATTAGAATATTTAGATTTATCAAACAATGATATTGGTTCTGTACCATCAAACGCGTTCGCTAGATTGGTAAACTTGTCAACATTAAGGTTGGATAGGAATGCTATAACAAAACTCAGTTCATTGTGTTTTAATAAACTATCAAGGCTTGAAGAGCTGCATTTGGATCACAATCAGCTGAAAAGTCTAGGTGGAAGAGATAGATTTAACAGGCTTGAGAACTTAAAAGAGCTTCGTGTTAGTCATAACCAACTGACAAAAACATTCACTGCTTATTACAAGAATAGCGAAAAGTTGGAATATTTGGATCTGTCATATAACCTTATCAAAAGTATTTCAGCCCGAGCATTTATATCATTTGAAAACCTTAGATGGTTACATATGGAAGGAAACCCATTGACAACCAAAACAGTTGAATCTGCATTTACGAATGCAAATCTTATCTTTTGGTTCTCCGTTGTGAATGACAATACCACACGTTGGATAGAAGTCATCAATGGCACCGGAGTGACGGAAGGTTCAACTTCATCATCAACTACCTCCACTACATCTGGGAACCCCACAGAAACTAGCCCTATCGTTGTTTCCCAAGGCCCAACTGACCAAATAATGGATACAACACCAACCACCCTAACAGATGGAACAATTGAAACAGCCACTGAGAAGAATCCGCCTAACATGAATGAAGTCTAAATATTATAAAATCACACCTGGCACGTTTTTAAAAGTACTTCTATTATGAAAACTGAAATCCAATTTAATACAATACAACAGCATATGAAACAATTACAAAACTACTCTTGTTACAACCAAATGTGCAAATCCAGCCATTCCAGTAATTAATGATATGTTCCGATTAACTGAATACTCATCTTGATACGACCTCGCCAACACTGGTTTCAAAATTCGTGTTCGTCTAGATAATTTGTTGTTAAAGTGAGGACTTATTAAAATTTATATCTGCAATTCTAATATGATGTTATAACTAGTACAATTTATTATCTGGTCTTTAATGAGGCATTTATGACTAGTTAGTTTCATTATCAGAATATAATTGTGTAAATGTTATATCAGTTGTGATGGCGAACCGTGCTTTTATTATATTAAGTCGTAACATAGACCTCGATTCTATGATTTATGGCAAATTTAAAATCGGATTTTACTCTGATCGTTGTCAAAGATCTCATTCGCTAGACGTGATGTCATGGATATCGATATTTTAACAATAACAAAAATCCCTGGCTATATATTAAACCATAAAACACCGAATCTTATCTTTATTTCTTAATTATTTATGTTCGAATGTTAATTGTGTCTCCCTGGCCAACCGACCTTTCCTCCCAAAAGTCCTTCATCGAAGTGTGTAGAACACATTCCACTTTCACAAAGACTACCTACAAGTGATAGAATACCAGATTCAATTTGATGGAAAAAACCTCGTGGAATGTATCCATCTCTCAGAGACCTACAGACCGTAACAAGTTTAGGTTTTGGAAAGTGAGGATGTTGAAAATATGTTTGAAGATTTGACATTGTCGTCTCGATTGCTTCGTAAGTTGGGGTATGTAAATGAACTATTGTTTTTCCTGGTGTATTTAATCCGTGACAAACAGAGAATTGACCATTCGAATTTGCTATATATGACTTACTCGTTGTCAAGTTACAAAAGCCAATATCTTTCAAGATGGCAATTTGATTCGAATCAATTTGCAACAGTAGTTTTATTATGGCTTGAATTGTAACAGTCTGATCAAATCCCATTGATGATCTTATGTTGAAAACATCAATTGTTTTATTGAAAAACTCGACAGCTTTCACAAAACTAGGATGGCTCTGGGCTATAAAATCCAAAATGACACTAAACGCGTCATCTACAGATTTCTCATCATCTAGAGTACGTGGATGGATCGCAACTCGCAAAATTGTATTAATGGCAGACACCCACTTCCATTGTAATGATGCCTTCAGCATACTATCTACCACTCTTTCACAGCCAAAGTAATCTTCATCTATGTCAAGGATAACAGTATCGTTTTCACCAACAATCTCTTTCATATTTAATTCATCTTTAAAATTGTCCTCCTGTATAATCTCTATTTGAACTCTGTTTGAATGTATTTTGCATTTATCTTTAGACATGGGTGTCCCTGTGTAGTTTGCTGAGACAGCCAATGGATCATTAAAGAGACAAAGTTTTGGCTCTGGATTTGACGTAGTTTCCATATAGCACATACAGAAGCGTTCATGTTGGTTATCGGATGGATCTGGGCCAGCTATACCAAACCAAAGATCAGCTTTGTGGTTGAATCTATCTACAGGACTTGCCCAAGAAGGTATGATCCAAATCACTCTATCAATCAAGCCGGACATAGCAGCAGACTGGAAAAAGGAAAACATATCAAAAAGTGTATTAGTTCTGTTGTTGTTTTGAAACACTGACAGAGACAAACTTTTTTGATACCAGAGAAGTAACAGGAGGAGTAGATATCGATATCAACCAAGTAACCAATAAATCTATCAATCTTACAGGTAATCAAGCAATCAGACTATGAATTATTATGAATGATTAAATGATTCGACAAAACACATTACGTAATATAAATAAACAATTTCTATAGGCAAGATTCCTATTTTCCTAGCATGCCCAATACAGGGCGTATCAAAAGAACGCAACAAGTAGTTGTCTCGTAAAATCACAAAACTAGTGATGACTACATTAATTTCATTTAATGTACCATAAAGCCACGTCTCTCCTCTTTGCAATGATATGTCGATCATTCATTCACATGTGGTAATGGTTGGGGGAGAAATCCTTCCATTTGCACAGTGGGTCAAAATCGGCTCAGGGCCAAGTTTTAGATATTGCAAAAACAGTGCAAGGGCTAAATGCCAATGGAAGTTCCCCTGACTTGAATTGTTGTGACTTTCTCTTTTGGAGCATCTCAGGAGCATCTGTGCTCACAATTCCTTCACCAGATATTGCAAAACCTCGAGAAAGAATTGCCAATGGGCTGCTTTTCTCTGCTTTAACCCACAGATGACTCGGCTGAACCATGCATGACGTGGACATATGAGCGCATCTTTATGTGTAAGGAAGTGGTGGCAATGTGGAGGGGTATAGGATGTATTCTTGCAAGAGTCTATGTCACACCTGTCACACCTTCCTCCAATAGCCACTATGCCCCTTGTACTGACTTTTGCAATATTTCAAACTTGAGTCCGAGCTGAATTTTGCCCCACTTTGCAAAATTAATGATTATTCGGCCAACCATGACTCCCTGTGAATGAATGATATTCCATTGCAAAGAGGAGTAATTTGGTTGGTCAGCATTGGTTTTATGTTTTCTTCCAATATTGCATCGGGCTCCGTACACTGACTTTTGCGATGTTTATAACTAGGTCCCAAGCTAATTTTGGCCAACTTTGCAAATGGAATGATTACTCGCCCAACCATGACCAAATGTTAATGAATGATATATCATTGTAAAGAGGAGACACATGCTTCATGATGCATTGAATGAAATCAATGCTGTTATCACTGGTTTTGTGCTTTTCCGAGATAACAATCTGTTGCGTTTTTTGATACGCACTGTATAAATAGCTGTGACCTGCTCTGTACATTTCAAGAGAATGTTTTGAGGATTCCATAGACATCTAACTAAATTGACATTTATTTATTTATTATGTTATTAAACTGTAAAATATTAAACAAAAAATAACTTAAGTATGTAAGATCTTTCGTCGGCGTTTGAGTATAACCATAAAATCTCTAATACTGCATTTATTGGAAAATATTTACAAGTATTACACATTACATACAGATCAACGAAATGCTAGATAGCAGACACACATAAACAATACGGAGGTCAAAGTCAGCTTATGTGTTCTGACATAGGGAATTGATTGCAAAATTTCTAATCAATATTAAACGTAATTAATCAACACCACCCCCACATTGTAACCTATATTGCAAGTTTGGCTTTTTACATTCAACCGATTGGTCTATCCTTACTATGTCTTAGTTTGAATATGAACATTTTGATTTATTCTCTCCCGATGACCATTGTGAATTATTGTTTTTAATGGATTATGGCAACGGCTTTGCGAATGGATGTTGACCCTTTGAATTGCTATTGGACTATCCCACATCATTTGAGACTGAATGCTCTATCTTTTATGAATATTAGTATCTACAATTTTTTCTTCAACATGTATTGTAATGGCTTCAGTTTGAATGAAATGTCCCTTGGTGTTATGGTCCTGGAATGTGATATAGGTTCTAATATTCTGATATGGGGGGGGGGGGGGGGGGGGGTTGTAAGACATTAATTCTTTTCACGTTAGACCATGTTTGGGATATATAGGGTCTTTTTTCTTATGACAGGTTCTCACTTAGTGTTGAACAAGAGACCAGGATGTCAATTGGTTAGCAAATCTAGACAAACAAAATATGAAACCGTTTTCATAAATTTGAAATACCACACTGTCTTACATAAATATTTGATCCAAGGATAAGCATTGTGGGATCCACATCCTTTACTATCCCTTGGAATACATCAGCGCAATAAAGGCATACATTGTCAAGATTTCAGCAGATACCTACGTTCCTGTGATCATTTTGAGTTACCCAAGGCACAAATGAACAAAGATTTGATATCCTATCTATATCCAATACTTTTGACTTGAGACAGTGTATATAACAAAGTCAGACTTAGGGGTCGATAGACGTCAATGCCTTACATAAATTTAAAGGGGATACATCCACATTTTGAAATTAGCCCCATAGTATGTCTAAACAAGGAATGGAATCGAAGATGCTTCCCCATCTTTAAAACCTTGCGTTATAAATGCCTAAGAGAGGTAGTCTGTATCCAAAGTGTGTTGTAATATCAAAGGGAATTTAGTCCAACCTTTTTCAGAAAACAAACATCAAAGTTGTTTTGACAGAAAATTATACAGAGAATTCAGATATGTCATCAAATAGAAGAAAATGTATGTCTTATGGTAACTAAAATGTAGATTTCCTAAAATTTCATTAAACGAGACTTCAACGAGATTTCAAAGCTATTTAGCAAACTGCGTTTGGAGGATGGGGTTTAACTGCGTGAACTAATTGTGTTTGATAATTCACTTTTGTTTTGGGAGTCTTATATAATTGGAAATATTTACAATACTTTGTACTATATACATAAGGGTTATGAAATGGGTTGTTTTGTTTGGATATGGGGTTTATCCAGAGGGGGATATGCATATTTTCCTGAGGGACCGCAGGGACCGACGGTAGATGTGCATATCTCATGAGGTATAAACCACATATCCAAACCAACTGTACATAACTGCTTTATGCTATACCCAAAAGAGTTTTCTTTTTTCAAATTTTTTTTCATTGTTTTCAAAGCGGGAATATATGCTCTGGAGCGGGAGATATGGCGGGAGATTTGGAGGTTCTGGATATGGAAACCTCATATCAGGACACGAGATATATCTTACCAACTTATCTCCCTAAAACTCTACTGGGCATAGGATAATAAGGTTTATCCTATGCCAAGTAGAGTTTTAGGGAGATAAGTTAGTACGATATATCCCGTATCCTGATTTTGAGGTTTCCATATCCTGAACCTCCATATCTCCCGCTCCAGGGCATATCTTCCCGCTTGGAAAAAAATTTGAAAAAATAAGAATTTTTTTTTAAAATGGGAAAAAAATTTGAAAAAAATAAAAAATTGAAAAAAGAAAAAAAATTGATTTTTTAATTAGAAAAATGTGAAAAAATTGGAAAAATAAAAAAAATGAAAACAAATTGAAAGAAAATTAGAAAACTCTGCTTGGTATAGGATAAAGCAGTTATGTACGGTCGGTTTGGATATTGGGTTCATCCCTCCTGAGATATGCATATCTCCCTCTGGATAAACCCCATATCCAAAACCTCCCAGTACATAACCCTTATTTATTAACCGGTATCAGCATTTCACAGATCAGTCAACCTCGATTTGGACAATTTTCCTTTCGTCAACGTAACTACATGTCCACGTCAAAGAAACATTGTAATGGACTTTCATCAATGTAACAATTTAAACGAAGGACTATGTTTATAACTTCAACTTCATTTACAATGCAAACCGAAGGCATTTTGAAAAGCTAGATTATATTGTCTAAGTTTATGCCAAATTATAATCTGCAACTTGACTTAAAAGTAGCCTCGGTTTAAATCCTGTAAACAAAACAAAAAATCTTACCAAAACCGAATCCAGGAAGTTAATCCATCTTGTTACGTTACATCAAAGTAACCAGTTGTGAAAAAGTGGTACAGGTCATTATGATTTTGGAGGTACTTGAGTTTGAGGACAGAGATAGGCTGTGCCATGTAAAGCACATTACAACTACATATGACCTACCTTGTTCAATCTTCTAGATAACCAAGTGGCACATGATTGTCGTCGTTTACAACAGACACACGTACATGAACTATGGCGTTGATTAAGATTTTCTTACTGATGACACTTTGTTTTGAGTTTTCTGACAGCAGTAGCATTCTTCTTGCACCTCAGGATATAGGCTACACTAGTCGAGTAACAAATGTCCTTAGAATTGGGCGAATCTTACTGCAAGCTGGCCACGAAGTAACTGTAATTGTGTCGGATAGAATAGAGAATGAATCTCTGTTTAAGCATGCAGAGGGTTCTAACTTGGACTTAGCTTTTAGGGTTCTAACCTATAAGACCCCGGCATATGATCCGGATACAGCTACATCCACAACAAACCAGGAATGGCTCAACTCTATGGTATACAAACCCTACACCACTCTTCTACCAATCGCTGGGCAAGCATATGAAGATAACTTAAAATTTGCATTAAAAGACAAGGACGTATGGAATGAAATAGCAACATCAAAATTTGATTTAATTTTTGCAGACGAAGCTGTATTTTTCCCGAGACTGGTTTCTGCATATTTTGACATACCAATGATTGTGTACTGTAACTGGGGTCCAATGTCACTTGATGCAAATTTTGCACCAAGATTTAATTTGGCATTTGTTCATGCTTTTTTCCCTGCAACATACACTGACGAAATGACATTTACAGAACGGTTCATGAACGTTGTAGAGTATTGGCATATAAAGTGGACATGGTACAATATGTACAATAAATTCATCTCTATCTGCAGAGAACATGGCTACGGGGATTCATGTGACAATATACGAGATGCATACAAAACTATATCACTGTTCATGATGAATAGAAATGACGCTATCCATTACCCTGCTCCATATATGCCCCATATCATATCTATCGAAGGATTTTTCATGATATCTGAACCAAAGCCTTTGGATACAGAGTACAGCAAAATCATCAAGAAAGCAGGAGAACATGGCATAATTATTGCTAGTTTTGGATCTATGCACCGTCGATTAGATCCTAAAACGAGTGAAACGTTTGCAACGGCCTTCGCTGCAATGCCTCAGACCGTCATATGGAGCTATGAGGGTCCCCCACCAAAAGGACTTGGAAATAACACCATTGTGAAAGAATGGATCCCTCAAGACGATCTGTTGGCACATCCTTCTACAAAATTATTGGTGACACAATGCGGAGCGTCTGTATTATTCCAAGCATTTCATTATGCTATGCCCACTGTTGGAGTGCCGTTCTTTTGGGACCAACCTTTTAACTGCCACAAACTAACTCACAAAGTAAAGTCTGGGAAAACAGTTTTATTGACGGAAATGACGAGTGAAAAGTTTAGTAATGCTATGAAAGAGGTGATCAGGGATAAACGCTATAAAGATAATGCAAATAAAGCTGCTGATATCTTCCATAGCCAACCTATTGACCCAAAGAAAAAGCTTATGTATTGGATAGAGTATGTCATCAAACATAAAGGGGCACATCATTTGAGGTCTAATGCAGAAAACGAGCTTAATATTTTCCAGTACTTTCTTCTTGACATAACTGCATTGGTCGTGTGCTCTTTGGTTATGCTTGGTGGTATTTTTGCTATTATTATAAAGTATTTGATCCAATACATAGTATGCGCCCGAAAGAATAACAAAACAAAAAAGGACTAGGCAGACAATAGTATTGTATCTCACTTCTGATTCGCGCCTTTGAAAATCTTTTATGTCTGACTTTAAATAATCTGGAAATAAGGTACGAACTAGAGGATGGACGAACGGACAGAGGGTTTCGCTGTATCTTGAATAACTCTATTCATTTGGATAACTACCATTAATCGACTATTTGGTTTGACTTCATGTCTTTACAAATTCGGGCATTAACAGCTGTGAATTTTGGACATCATAAAATTAACTATATGAAAACGAAATAATACTTTGTTTACTAATATAACTAATATACTACAATACGATTTATTCTGTAACATTATATTACACCCTATGCAGACAGAGCCTGTGGGAAATATTGGGTGCGGAGCAAATGAGCGGAGGGTGCGGAGCTAGCGGTCATTTTTGAATTTAAATTTGGGATATTTCTGAAACTAAGCCGTTTTGGGACTTCAAATATACCAAGATATGTGTATTTGACACCAAATATCAATACAATTGTGAAAATAGTAGCGCAATTCATTCTATAGCGACGCAGTATGCCTTAAACCTTTCCCAGACCTATATATTTTGAAATTAATACTGAGTCCCCAGCATTCATAAAAAATGGTGTTCAAGGTACACTATCTATACAAATTATTTTTGCATCTTGGAAGCCAGGCAGTATCTGTGTGATTTTATAAAAATTCGGAAATGTTTTTCAGATATGAGCCCCCTCTAAATATTGGGTGCGGAGGAGCTCCATAAACGTACCTCCGCACCCAATATTTAGAGGGGGCTCATATCTGAAGAACATTTCCGAATTTTTATGAAATCACACAGATACTGCCTGGCTTCCAAGATGCAGATGTTTTCTCTGGGTCTGGTGTCATTCCCTTCATTTGAAACAGTGTACCTTACCGTTATGAATACATCATTCTTTTGGATCATCCTATAGAGCTCTCCGTCACTTGTGGGAAGGCGGAACCTCGGATATCCATGGACAAGCTGTGGTAACACAAAATCCGGGTGGCCATCTATATGAACCTAGAAGTAATTTATGACAATATACAAATAAGAAGCTCATTACATAAACTTTATTAAGTTTTGCATTTATCTTAACCATGAGTACAATAATAGAGATATTTGACTTTGAAATACGGCAATCTTTATTTCAATTACGTAATGAAAAGGTTGATGGTATTTGTATTAATATTGGATATTAACGAGGATGCATTAAAGTCTATAAATTGAAAAATGTCTACTTATCCATGCTTCATTGCGTACAGTAACAGTAATATTAAAATATTATGAGTTCCTTATCACATTATGATTGGAGTTCATCATTGTATAGTATGTGTTTATTGTGCAAAATCAAGGCACTTGATGCTGTTGAATGTTCTAGAACTCATTATCAACATTTGTTGATCAGGTAATGTGTTTTCAAACTTTCTCTTTAAAACACCTTCGAGCCGAACATCTGAATCGAATCCAAAAGTGGATCGCTGATGCCAAGGATTTTCATTATTCATCTCATTGTATAAGTCCAGGATTTTTTGAAAGGATTGTAAAATTATTCAAAGCTATTTCCGTTAACTCTTAAAGCAGATATGAAATGGTATTTTTAACCTACAGGAATCAATATAATTTTTTGATAAATGTATTTGGACATGTTTTCTCATCAGTAGTGCGAAAACTATTTCACTCTAACGATCGTTATAGCTGCTTAATAAGCAATATTCGAATTGGTTGTGACGTTATTGGCCCCCACGTGATCTCTCACTGGTCCCCACGTGGCCCATAACGTCATAATGCCTAAATGTTTTGTTTTGGTTTACACTACAATCCTATGGTTGCCGTGACGTTGTGATTACTAAGGAACCAACAAAACAAAGCTATATTTTGTATATGACGTTACTTATCACGTGGGGGCCAATTTGATTGATCAGTTAGTTTTGTTTCGTTATTTATGACCGTTAGCAGTTATCTAACATTTATTTTATAACGGCTATCGCAAGAACTCTACGTTGGGCTTACAATGGAGAAAACCGCATTTTTGTAGCTGCAAGTTGAGAAAAGCTATTTCAGTTGTCCTTTAAAGCAGATATGAAATGGTATTTTTAACCTACAGGAATCAATATAATTTTTTGATAAATGTATTTGGACATGTTTTCTCATCAGTAGTGCGAAAACTATTTCACTCTAACGATCGTTATAGCTGCTTAATAAGCAATATTCGAATTGGTTGTGACGTTATTGGCCCCCACGTGATCTCTCACTGGTCCCCACGTGGCCCATAACGTCATAATGCCTAAATGTTTTGTTTTGGTTTACACTACAATCCTATGGTTGCCGTGACGTTGTGATTACTAAGGAACCAACAAAACAAAGCTATATTTTGTATATGACGTTACTTATCACGTGGGGGCCAATTTGATTGATCAGTTAGTTTTGTTTCGTTATTTATGACCGTTAGCAGTTATCTAACATTTATTTTATAACGGCTATCGCAAGAACTCTACGTTGGGCTTACAATGGAGAAAACCGCATTTTTGTAGCTGCAAGTTGAGAAAAGCTATTTCAGTTGTCCTTTAAAGACAAATCGGGTTACAATTCATTCAGCGCCTATATTTGTTGTTCTTTTCTTATTTTTCTTAAATTGCAGAAATAGAGGTTCTTATATGAGTAGCTTACCTGTGCAAGATCGTCCATTCTTGATGAGCTTTGATAATTCTTCTTTATCGAGTCGAAGACGAGATAAAGAAACATTATCAAAGCGAGTCAAGAATGGACGATATTGCACAGGTACGAGTACAAGAAAGTTTTTCTCATATGACTCTGTATTATGCCATATTTTCACCATTTTATCATAAAACTGAGTAAAAATTGCTTCAAATTAATTGAACTTCATCTTTCAATTGTTATGACGTCATAACAATATTGAAGAAAATACATAGATACATGTGGCAACAAAGCTCCATTGTTATGACGTCACAACTAAGTTTTGTAGAATTAGCATGGATACGCACAACAACGCTGTACCCGTTGCCATGTTGTTGATGTTTATAGACCGGTGATATCACAAGTAAATCTCATCTTGCACGTGTGACTTTTTAGGATGAAAGATGGCAATATCTTGCATGGGGTAAAGATGGCTGTATCTTTGTTAGTCATATGAGAAAATGATTTATCCAACGGTTGGACGGGAGTATATCTTCACTGGCTTTTATCTACTACTACTCACCAGCACATTTCTCTCTTTTTTCAGCACTCCATTGGACGCTGCTTGAAACCAATATGGCAGAACTACAAATTCATAAATTGAGTAACCGTTTTATCGCTATCCTATGTAGTGGCTAAATTGTTATCTCAAAGTAATAAAGATAAATTTTTTTAGCCTACGTCGTCTGATGGTTTGACGGTAAAACAGATTGAAAACCCAAGTAACCCCGATCCCAACTTCCCACGCCTGGAATAAAAGTGACTTCGAATGTATTTCAATTAGCCTTCCATAGAAATACTCATGCACACGACCTATTTTATTTGGCGCATTTACTCATCTGTATTAGATAGTCGACCCAAGGTCGAAGGTCAAGATGAGTTTTCCGTATTTTCGCAAAAGTAGGGCCATAATGACCTAGTTTTAACCCTTTCCCAAGGAATTTATCTTAAAGCTATTGTCAAAAATTTTAAAAAGCGCTTACGTAATTACGTCGAAACGTTTAATTTGATCGAATGGGTTAAGCAAGAATATATTATTGAGCATGGATATGATACATGAATTGTCCTAATTTTTCATACCTTCTTGGTGCTCCTCCACGACGACAACCTTAAGAGTCTTGCCATTGTGTTCATTCGCCGCAATCTGTAGTCGCACATTGTCCAGAATCGAATCAACGTCTTCCATTGGAGATACCTTTGCAACTCGAGTCCACGTAATGATCAGAAGAATACATGGCAGAGTACAGAATATCGATGAGGCCAAAAGTAGTCGGGGCAGACTGCATCTGCGGACAGCTATTCCCATTGCTCCCATTTTCACATTAAAGTACAATGATCATGATTGTAACTTTCCGTCAGTTAGATTGCACACCGTCAGGAGTCGAACGAATACAGGGTGATCGATAATATTGCAGTTTTCATTTTATATGTTGCATATACATATTGTATAATGTCTGAATGTTCGAATAATCCGATCGGGTTAACCTACATATTTCTACATTTGTTTCTTCAACAGGACTGATCATCCTTTTTTTGATATTGAATGATGAAATGAAAACTGCTATAAATGATTTATCAATTTTCTTTATTGGTTATAAGACGTTAACAGACGCAATCCATCACGATCCGCATGCCATAGGTCTACATTGGAATCATATTAGTTACTCTTTATAATTCTTATTGTATATAATCAATCCATCAAGTTGATTACACACCAAGCGATATAAAACGAGATTATCTCATTAAATTAGTCCATCGATATATTGTGTTCCTTGTTTTTATAACACTATATTACGTTTGTAAACATGTAATAACTATCTTGATAACACTCGCTTTTGTGGCTATAAGCTGATAAGCAGGTAACATTAATAGACGAAGATGGACTTCTCAATTTCAAGCGGCTAAGTTGGTATTCTTCATCAGATTGTGAACAATACTCTCGAAGAACTACTTTTCTTTCATCGTGATTTGGGATCTGCCAATCAATGATAAACGTTCTAAGTGGTTTCAATAAAAAATTCCAAACATGATATATTATTTATCTATTTACGTATTGTTTTAATAATCTTGACATTAGGCTTGCGTTAACTCTTTACAATAAATCACATGTGATCATTTCTTAATTTCAGCGATCAATTGATACAATTGATCATTATGGTGTCCAGGAATGCACTAGAGGGGATTACATACAGGTCGAGGTCAAGTTTCTGATAGAAAAAGTGTGCAAATAATGCAATTTATGAACGCTCATTAAATCAGCATTTGTACAAATAATAAAAATTGTTCTTCGCAAATATGAATACGTATGGATCATAGTTTATGCCCAGCGGGTGACCATTTCCAAAAATGGCAGTCATTTTTATGGCTGTTCGATTCATTACGCCATGGTGTTGCTGTTGTCTAGTTATATCGGAGGATTGGGGCATGAAGTTAAACCGAATCAAGGAATGCATATTCATTATATTGGAATAGATTTATTACATGATAAAGCATGCTGTATGTATAAATCGCTCAGTTTGAACAAAGATACACATTATTGAATACTCTGTATTTGAAACTTGCATTTTCCAACAAGCGGAAGAGTAGTCCTGGTAACCATTAGTTAAACCATCCCTGCATACCACCAAGAAGATGAGAGTCATAAAATAAAGAGTAATGCTTATTTTTAATTGCGTTCAATGAATTAATAATTCCACTTTCGATTGACTTAAAATGTTTTCTAGGAGTATATCCATCGCGAATCGATCTGCAAACCGTCACTAGCTCTGCTTTGGGCAGATTACTGTGACCCATGGCAATTTCCAGATAGGTAATCATGGTTTGAATTTGCGCATGCGTGGGACTATGCAACGACACAACGGTCATGTTTGGGACATTGAATCCATGACATATCGTGAACCCTGCCCCGCCCACTTGATGGATAAATCCCTTCAAGGTGGTAGAGGAACAGAATCCTAGCGTCATCAATTCTTTCAGCTGAATAGCACTAAACCTTAGAAGAATACTCATAATTTTGGCCAGAATTATTGATGCTCGTTGGGATACTGTCATGACTGTGTTGTGATCACTACAAAACATTGTCGAGTCCTTCGCTATGTATTCTTCTAAGATTGCATTTGCCTTGGTGCTTAGCAAATCTGTGTCACATTTTGAATTGCAGATTTCTAATAAAACCTGGATGTTTCTATACATGAATGTGTTTGCCATTTGTTCTTGTTTTGCATGCTTGAGACATATCATACTGGCCAAATATTCATTTATGGTGTCCAGGTCATTCCAATCTACTCTTTTCTTAAGTATCCCATCCACTGCTCTTTCGCATCCAAAGAAATCTTCATCGATATCAATCAATACATGTTCACCTGGTTGGAAAACATCATCTGAATCAAGACTGCTCACAAACTCGGCATCCATGACCTCGTCCCAAGTAACATGAATGTTCTTGTTGATTTTGCATTTGCCATTGGCAAGTTTCACCATGTTGTTAGTATCCACATCCAAGAAATAACACTCTCTTTGTTGTGATTGACGTGAATTGGAGTTGGAAGTCGTGTTTATAGATGGATTTGCTGAATAGCAGATACAGAATTCTTCAGTTTCGTTCTTCCCAGGATTTTTAACAGTTGACAATCCATATTCACAGAAGTAACTAAAACAGTAAATATTTGAGGTAACGATAAATAACAAAGCAAGCAGCTCAAACAGAGCACAAGTCAAGAATTATGAGCAGAGACGGATAACATGTACCGTACAGAAATGATTAGACTACAAGTCCACATATTGACAGCTGACTTTTCATGGCCAGCCATATGGGATATCAAGATGATCGACTTGATTTTCAACTTTGAAGGTCACAAATCTCCTTACCGAGACAATTTGTCCGTATGTCGTGCAGTGTCCCAGGACGGCCACACCCAGATCACTCTATCAATAACTCCAGTCATTATCGCTTCCTGCAATTGGTTCTATTCATTACCGAAAAGGTTATGCTTAGTATGTCATAAATATATTAATTACATTTTAGATCTATTTTCATATAAGTTCTCGCTTGCCCTGACTACATGTATCTATCGTGTCAATGCGAATGCAGTCGACTGCACTCGTTAAAAGGTACCGCGTCTGAGAGTTCTCAGAAGTTGTGACTTTAGATATGATATTTGGTCTTTTTTCAACTAGCTTCTAATTTAACATTTTTTTCAAAATCATCTTCAAGTTCTCGGACGTTCATATTTGACTCTAGATTTGAGATTTGACCTCCAAGGACCGTCTCAAGGTCAAAAATGTATTTTTAATCTTACTTCAAATTGACAATTTTTCAAAAATCATCTTCAAGTTCCGAGACGATCAAATGTGACTAGGTCGAAATCAGCTTTTCAATTTTTTTTCGAAATCATCTACAAGTGCTTCAGAAGTTCAAATCTGACTTTGGATTTGGCCTGCAATGACCTTCTCAAGGTCAAAATGGTGTTTTTTCAACTTGCTCCAAATTGAGAAGTTTATTTTTGAAAATCATCCACAAGTTTTCAGAAGTTCAAATCTGACTTAAGATTTGAACTCACAATATTGAGCAGCTAGATGTTGCCATTTTGTCATATTAATGCTACATCTTACTTTTGTTCTATTTTACTTTTTCCATGCCAAATCTATATAAATAACATATCTTCACTTATTCCCGTCCAAATGATATACCATCTCCTTTTATTCACCTAGTGATAAAACCAAGTCTTACACTCTCGAACAACCCAATTTTATAGAACAGTTATATTCGTCCCATCTTAATATATGCACGACCAACGCTATGTACAATACGTACGTGTAGGGTACCCTGTTAAGTGTATGATTGGATCTGGAAACTAGCAAGGGGGGGGGGGGGCAAATTTCAAGTTTGGAAAAATCTTAAAAGGAAAGTTTCGGCCCAAATTTTGAAAATCTAAAGTCCATTTTTGAAAATAAGCCCAGTGAAGTCGGGGCTTCATCCTCTTAGTATAAAACGAAAAATTACGCCTGTTAATATGAAAGTATTTTTTATTGATCGTTAACAAATGTACATATTCAAAAATTCATAACAAAAATGAGCATAACATATGTATGTTCACAGAATATGAATGCGTAGTATAGTGAGTATCTCAATATTGGATTAATGAAGATAATTCCCGATACTATATAGTGGCCATACAGTCGTATTTCAAATATTAAAATAGTATATAATAAAATACAATTATATTCAGGTAGACATACATTTTAATCTCATCTCTAAAACTTGTTTCTCAAAATATGAGTCACCTAATGTACATAAAGCAAGAAAAAATCTTCATTTTAGAGAAGACCGATTCATCGGCATGAATCTAATTTTCAATGTCATGGTTTAAAATTTGTGAACATTAACTTGACATTCACGAATCTCATACTATAAGAACCAAATAAAGCAATATCAAACAACACATTACACAACTGTAATGTTCAAAGTCAAACAAATACATGAGCCTCATAGACGAGAAATATTACTATTATTTAGATATAACAGCCTCCACAATAATAAAATACGTCAAAAGTCGTCAAAGTTAAAAAAACACCACTGATGTGATGTCCTTACAAACATTATAATTATAAAATATTAAAAAACATAAATGTTTGTACCAAAAAGGATATACTGAACACGTAAACATATTGCCACATTCATGTATACATTGTAATACTGAGCATTGCCTCACTTGAGTATAAACATGATATAAAGCATTAAACAAAAGCCTCGTTATACAAAACGGCCATAGCACTTGGATGTATACACAGTATTGTGGTATTACACAGTTATATTACACAGTTTACCTTGGTTGTATTCGCGAATGCATTTTTCGGCTGTCGGCTACCAGATTAACCTACTATTTTATGACCAACTCATTTTAATATGAATGAAACAGTGGCAGATTTGGGAACCAACATGTGGGTGCTTTATTTCAGAGCTTGTAAGGAACTTTTTTTGAAAATGTAAGACCCATTTTCTTTATAACATGGCCTAAAATTAAAAAAAGGCCTTTTAAGTGCAAGTAATGCCAAAAAGGTCCACTAGTTGGGGTCCTAAAATGTTCCTTTTCTGGGTCCCCCCAGCTCTGTCAGTGGGTACTATTCATATTTAAACGAGTTGCCCATAAAATAGTAGTTTAATCCTGTACCTTACAGCCGAAAGTTGCATTCCCATACAAAATGTAAAAGCTTAGTTCTAACTTTTGGAGTACCAATTAGGTGTTCGTATTGCGTACAGTAAGAAGTAATCATGTTGGTTATGGCTTTCGATAAAGAACTGTAATGTTTGTTCTAAACAGTGGAGTAGATCCACTTCTCTACCAATGTAAGTAATTCTATAAGTGATATATATCAATCAATTAATCCAGGTATAACTATGGTAGGCCTATGGATACAGAAATAATATTATTTACCAGTATGTCTCCCAGGCCAACCTTTTTGTCCTCCTAATAAATCCTTGTCATAATACACTGCAAAAGAATTTTTGTGTGAGTTGATCACACTGTCAATAATACCTTTTTCTATCTTGTGGTACTGAGATTTAGGTGTGTAACCGTCTCTCATAGACCTACATAGAGTAACTAGTTTGGGTTTGGGCAAATGTTTGTCACCAAGTAAGTCACCCAGAAGTGTGATTCTAGTGTTTGTCTCCTCTATTGTGGGACTATGGAAGATGACAACAGATTGGTTCGGCGCATTTACACCATGGCATACCTTGAATCCATTTTCATTTTCCAACAAATGAGTAAACGATTTGACGGTTGTCTGGGCACAGAATCCTGTTTCTTGTAAGGTATTCATTTGTGTTTTACTCAGTCTAGCAATTTTGTTATTTATCATTAGGCAAATCTGTTTGACCATTTGTTTATTTCTACCATGGCATAATATCTGCCTGGGCAATTTTGCAACTTCGTCCTCAAGCAGTTTAAGAGCTTTAGTGAGATCACACTTACCTGTTCGTGAACATAAACTTTTAAAGGAATTTATATGGTTGTACAGTAATCTATCTGCTAGTTTTTCATGTTCTGTTATTTTAATGCATATGAGTTCATTCAGTAGTTTATTGATCTCTTCAACCAACTTCCATGGAATTTTGGCATTGATGAGCGAATCTGTTCCACTTTCACACCCAAAATAGTCCTCATCAATATCTAAAATTATATTTTCATTGTCTTTAAACCAATGCCCACCTTTCAATTTCTCCAAAGCATTATCTTCTTGCAGTTCCTCAAAGATTCCTCGTTTAGTAGGTCTCTTGCATTTATCTTTGTCTATCTTAGTTCCCATGTACCCTACATCATTGGCATCTTCTTCATTTAAGTATCGACAATCAAACTCTGTATCATTCCCTTCCAAATGGCAAATGCAAAATACTTTCGTCAAATAGCCATCAATCTTCACCTCTGTAGTTCCAAGCTCAACAATCCATTGTCGGTAAACAGTGTCATGATTGACAGCGTCCCATTGAGGCCACACCCATATAACACCGTCAAGGAGACCCGCCATAGAAGCTTGCTGTAATGTAACGAATGTAGAGTTAATTAAACTGACAGTATAAACAGGAAACTATCAAAATATTTGAGAATAATCAGTCATTAAAATATCTAGATCTAGATGCAAGAGTAGATGCAGGCAGCTGCTGAAAAGCATATAGTAGCAAACAAAATTGCAGGTCTATATGGCATAAATGAAACAAGCATAGGAAGCAATAAATAGGGCATGAGTGTAACCATAAAAACCAGAAGCAAAACAGAGTTGGTGAGTAGCAGGCATGCTTTGAAAAGACCGGAAGATGAGACCTCGAAAATGTTAATATCTGATTTGATATCTCTTACAAGAAGTTACAATTACAGAAACAAGATATGTTGTTGTCCCCGATGTCTTTGATACCGCGATAACAATACTATAATCAAAGAAAAATACTAAACTAAAAATCAAGTAAGCTATGATGTAAATGCTATTGTAACTATAAACAAATAAAGCATACATGTACCTGAGCTCAGAAATAAAGCCAGAATTCACAAAAGCAAAGGCCCATACCTAGGAGCAATAGACTAGATGCGAGTAGAAAAGTCTTGATTTACGCCATTAAATATTCAAAATTCAGTCAAAGCGATGTTATATTTGAAATCTACATCTAAAAGTACATCTAGAAATATGGTTTCGAAAATTGTTTATCAAGTTTGAAAATTTAATTATTTTTGAAAGTGTGACTTCTAGTTCGGGTTGATTCTTCATAGAGCCCATGTTACAAAATCGCAAAAAGTGAAATATCTTTTCTTATATTGGTCAGATAATATTTTCATTTACTGTACATATTTTGATTTGCATAACTATTAGATACATAAGGGTTATATGAAAATTGAACCACTAAAACAGATGTAATTTAAGTTAAAGGGAACTTTCTACTATACCCGCCATGCTATCTGACCCGAACGAGCCACCTGGTGGTGAAACTGGTAACTACCTACTCGCATCTGCGTTATTACATGCATAGCTGCCAGATTCTACTTCTACAAGCCCGGAGTAACACATGCATACTGTAGTTTGCATACATGTACACATAACAGGCCCGTAGCCAGGATTTGCCAAGGAGGGGTTCACTTTGAAAAATTCCAGGGGGTTCACTTGTGACAATTTTGGTCCAAAAATGGCCAAAATCACTTAAAAAGTGCTCAGAATGGTGAAAAACTGCATTATTTTGAAAGATTTTTGGCCAGGGGGGGGGGGGTTGGAACCCATTGAAGTCTCCCTGGCTACGGGCCTGGATAATAAGATAATAGCAAACTCGTGTTTTGAAAAGCATATGATAAATATTTCAGATGCAATTTATAGGCATATTTAATGCTTTATCCGACACGACACATTATTGATGAAATGTTAAACAAATATATGAAAGATTAATTTAATTAAATGCACTGAAGTTGATGTATATAAAAGGACAATATGTCTACATGATCTCACCTATTGTGGAAAAGCAGGTGAGCAAACAGGTGTGTAATTAATATAATACAAATTCATGGGACGATGAAATTTAATATCATGAAATGTCAATTTAAAATGTACGATACGCAACAACCAAGAACCAACTTTAAACATTTATCATCAAAGGGGAGAAATATAGGTTATTTACTGGGAGGGATTGAATATCGGTTTTTATTCCAAGAGACAATATGATATTGACCGAGGGAGCACAGCGAATATTTAATCCCGACTAGGAATAACCTATTTATTCCATATACACCCCTCTAAAATGCTACATTTGGATAATGCAAATTACCTGGTAAAAAATAACCGGGAAAGCGAAAATAGGTTACTGTAGATTGGGTTAATTTGGCGCTACTTAATTTGGCGATTTTGCCATTTTTGGCATATTGGCGGCTATTTAATTTGGCGGATATGCAAAAGATGTTAAACCTACGCGGTGTTTGCGAATTACCATGTAAATAGGCATGTTTGGCTATGTTCATTTTTTCTTTTGAGGACCACTGGCGATATTCACCACGTTTGTACATTTTTGTGAGATCATCCTTTACTTTTTGCACCTCAATCAATGCTGCTACCATATCGTGCTTTTCCTTTCTAGTTTTCCCTGAGTATTAATGAGTGACTGACCAGTTCTGAGCCAATTTATGAGAGACATTTTTTCATCTTTTTTGAAAAAATAAACCGGAAGTGACCTTAATACACTGGACGAAATATCCTAGATAATTCCCGGGATCCATTCTAAATTTTAGCGAAGATTTATATTGGCGAATTTTTCAATTTCGCCAAATTCGCCAAATTAAAGTAGGCGCCAAATTAACCCAATCTACAGTAATATGCTTCAATACGATTGTTTCCCGGGGACAATACGATTTTTTCAAGTAATACGCTCCAATAGGATTTTTTCCTGGGTACAATACGATTTTTTCATGTAATACGATTTTTTATTCCTTCATATTTCCCTGGGAAAACAGTAGTATTATGGAATAATCAGAGTTATTGGCTGGTCAATCATGTCAATGTCTGATTCTAGTTTAAATCATCTTATCATACACCTACGATTGAAAAACAGATTTCTTTATTCAATGTTCAATTATAACCAATACTTTATATTCATCCTTGCTAATAGTAAATGTTCAATGTTAAACAGAATGGAGGCCTTCCGGAAGCAGGTAAGGGGAATAGATATGATTTGGGTTGAAAGAATTTGTTCAAACAATACTTGCAAGCAAAGCCAGTATAGAATTAAAGGTGCATATCTATTTGCTTCTGTGTGAAGGTTTTACTTACGACTATGAAGGCATCGTTTCTCTGCAACATGATTGTGAGTTCCTCTTTATTAACTGGGGGCCTATATAAAGGATACCCATCTAAGTACATAGGTGGCGCCCCATCACTATGGCCATCAATATGCAGCTAGAAAAAGATTCGTCAAAATATCAGGTACTCAGTCATGGCATCACAAGGCTTTAGGTGCTCCAACTTCCATTAAAACCACTTTGATTTGAAATATAAATTTCATATTGTAACATTTTAAGAAAATATTAAACTTGTTTTACTAATTGAACAATATACTTACTAGTGTGTTCCCTGTTTTTGGAATAATGCCGGCTTCAACTGCTTCAAACCAGTATTTTAACACTAAAAAACACAGTAAAGAATTTAGTTAGTCATTCACTAATATGTATATAGCAGGGAGGCTAGCTATTAACTTTCATGTATTATCTATCCCGATGTTAGGTTAAATGCATATTGCTCATTATATGAAAGAATGTTGAATGAAATGTTCACATAGCAAAACATATTTCTATATGCCCAAAAGTTGACCTTGTATGCATATTGGTATTTAATGTCTCATCTCATTTTTATGGATTCATGGTGAACAATTGGAAGCATCTCCTTATTGTGGACAGACAGACTTGACTAAACTAGACTGTAGACTAGACTAGACTAGACAGTGGAACTCCATCATATGTGGTACCAATACCAAATTATACACCTGGCTTATAAAGTACATATACATATATCACAGTTCCACACATGTCATGTAAGTATCCCTGTTTACTGGAGAAGAGTAGCTTTACAAGTACATGTAATACAACATCCTCATGATTACAATAGTAATAGGGTTTGTGTAAAAAACCGGGTGACCGGGTAACCGGGTGACCGGGTACTTAACGTTCCTAGCAGGGTTAGGATTTTTTTTTATTTATAACGTTGGATCTGGACAATACATGTACGTTATTTTCGACGTCACGTTTTGAGGTTATTTCACATCGTAAGAACGTTTTGACAACGTTAACTTTTAACGTT